CATTAGTACTACCGGTTCTATCCATCAATACTAGATTTCCAATTCGTTTTTATTTCCCTTTTAAAAGGACATGGAGACTGAGCAATCTTCCTAGAAATACTCTAAATTATTACATGTCATTGCCACCATCTATCCCTAAAATGGAGCTAGGTGAGAGATTATTCAGCTACTGCCACTATAGTATCAAGCACAGCAAAATATAAGCAAAGGAGTCGGAAAAAGAGTAAGAAAGCAAAATAATGTAGCTTGGGGATGAAGCTTGAACTGAGATTCACAAGTCTGAGTTCCATACCCTGTTGTGCCAATGATTTTAAACTTTTTTAAATTAAAAAAATTTAACTAATTAACTGTGACTTGATTAGATGAGTCTCCTCACCATTTTAGGCCTTGGTTTTCTCTTCAACAACACAAATTCAAAACAAATGATGAAGGGTGTGGGATGCAACTCGCCATGCCTGCCTGACAACCACAAGGTCCTGAGTTCAATTCCCAGTACCAGAAAGAAAAAAGCAAAACAAAAAAATGATGGCTAGATGGCTATGGTGCCATCTAGCTCTGTACAAATGAATACACATACACACCTGCATGTACACACTCAGAGTTGGGAATAAAAGTAAAAATAAAGCAAGACCATTCCATATTGGTGGTGGAAACTGACACCTTGTCAGCTTGTCATAAATTGCATTTCTGAGGATGAGATCTGGACACAATCAAAAGAAATATTTACTTCCACTTAGTAATTATTTACTGAGCAATTATTTATATCTAATACTAGCACTACTGGAAGTACAGCAATACACAAAAAAATCGGTTAACCCTAAGATCAACTACGTGGAAAAAATGTAAGTCTCCCAAAACTTTAGATTCAAAAGCTGATTTAGTAAAATGTAATAACCAAACTGGCCCAGTAGCAAGATACAGAAATATTTGTAAATCTTTTTTTTGTTTGTTTGTTTGTTTTGAGACAGGGTTTCACTATGTAGTTGAGACTGACCTGGAACTCACTATGTAGCCCAGGCTGGTCTCGAACTCAGCGATCCTCCTGCCTCAGCCTCCCGAGTGCTGGGATAACAGGCGTGTGCCACCACACCTGGTTAATATTTTTAAACCTTAAGGAAATACAATAAATGATTTAAAAAATCATATGCAAAGCACAAACAAGTGGCACAGTCAAAAGCATACCTCACTACTTCCACATAAAATATAAGAGCTACAAGTATTTGGGAATAGGAAAATAACCTTATTTCCCTAGAATCCACGTTTAATAAGAGTCCTACATAGATTCTTAAATTATGCTAGATAGAATAAAATGTAACTGGAATTCTCACCTCTGCTGTCACCTGCACGCTTACCTCTTTCAGAGGACTACTGGTTCTACATATTTCCAAGGACCAACTAAGAAAGAAAGCGTCCTGTACCCCTATTCGAAGAGTTAAAATAGCCACTGTAAAAAAATTTTAAACTATTTTTACCTCTACATAAAAAAGATAATTTTTTTTTTTAACCTTGCAGAAGCTAAGGTACCCAGTGAGTTGTGTGGTTTTTATAATTCATAAACGCCCCAACCAGATCTACCAATAATTTGGCCCGGGGGTGGAGGGAAAGTAAAAACTAAAGATTACCAGGAAGGTAAACAAGGAAAAGATTTGTTAGTGATGCGCCTTTACTTCAGAGAGGCAGTTTTTCGTACCCCATCCACTAATTCCAAGACAAGAATCGCGCGGCGCGGAAACCCTGGCGAATTTGAAAACAAACGTTTCGAGGCACCGAGGGACTGGAAGGGGGTTGGTAACTGACAGCTCAGCCTCGGTGCAAGAAACCTCAATTAGGTCAGATTGTGCCAATGGCCTGAAAACTAGGGTCCACCCAGTGGGATCTAAGGAGTAGAGCAGCAGGCGGTGAGCAGGGCTGGGAATCTTTCGGTAGGATAAGGGGCGGGATATCGGAACCTAAAGACTTCCAGCCCAAGCCCGGGCAGTTCGCCCGCTCTCACCTCGCTTGGGGGCCTTCATCATAGGAGGCATCCCTCCAGTGCCCTCGCCGTTTTCCTGCTTGTCCTTGTGCTTGAGATCGCCTGGGACGCAGGAGCTGGGTTCGCCATCGGAGCCGCGGTGGTGATGGTGCTTGTGTCGTTCCTTGTGGCCCTTATGTTTGGGCCCGGCCGCGCTCACCGTCAGGGGCGAGAAGGTGAAGAGGGCCGAGGTGCCCGGGGCCGGGAGCGGGGTGGCGAC